AATGTTGCTAAGACATCAAGCAACATTAGGACAGAAACATGACCATTAGATGTGGTGAAATGGAGGTCACTGGTGACACTAAGCAGCATGATTTTAATGAGTGCTGGGCACAGCTTACTTAGTCAAGGTAGGAGACAAGGGGTGTGACAGGGTTGAGACTGTGATTCTGGTTGCTGTAATGCATAGAGAAACATGGGGGTAGAACTTGGGAGGGAATATAAAGCCAGGAGAATAACGAGTAGATATGAATGAACCATGTATATTCATGTATAAGCTGAGTTTTTCAGCACATTTTTAATGCAGTTTTTGTGGTAAAATTTGGTGCCTCGACTGATATTCAGGTTGGCTTATACTCGAGTATATAAGTACGACAGATATATTGGAAAAAGAGAAATAGATAATATAAGAGGAAAACTTGCAGGAGATAACCTTTAGAGAAGAGAGTGGATGATATACAGAACAAAGATATAGAGGGCATTTTTAGACAAGCGCAAGAGAACTTTTCCACCATTGCAACAGGAGGAAAGTCATAGAGTGTGAAGGATCGTGAGGTGGCTTGGTATATTTGGGGACAGATGATGAGAGGTCATTCCGATGAGTACCGCATACTATGGGAAATCAAAGCTAATGCACATACACTGTACAATACTATGCTATCCAAGTGCAGGAAGCTTTAGGGAGAATGCAATAGTAAGGACGGAGAATTAGTATGTGCTACCGTTTCTGTATAAGGAGCCCTGGTGATGCAGTGGTTACACATCGGGCTGCTCACCACAAGGTCCGAAAAAGCACCAGCTGCTTCTTGGAGAAAGACGGGGCTCTCTACTCCCTTAAAGAGTCACACTCTCAGAACCCCACGGGAGCGGTTCTAGCCTGTCCTTCAGGTAGGGGTGCTGTGAGTTGGCAACTTGATGGCATCGTGTCACTGTTTCTGTAGCATAATGATACATTTGAAATATGCATACATATAAATAAATGTATTGCTACCGTAAGGAAGATGAATAAGACGGTAAGAGAGGGGTATATATTATATATGGTTTCCACCTGATAGAAAGTTAGATTTTTCAAATTCTCTCAATCACTTCCTCCTACACTGAGGATTCGTGCTTTATAGTGATTACTTTTTCATGCGGCCATACATGGAGCTAACTCTAAATTTGTCGCCCCTAAAAAGCTTCATCCAATTTTCCCCATCTTCTCTGATTCCCTGTAGACCTTTAGGCTACTCCTCA